TGCCCTTGACTCACGTCATCAAGTTAGTGTTGCATCCCAGATGCAAAATCTAACATGGAAAAGGGGCAAACCAATGGAAGTCAATATCCAAAAGAATGCAATCATATTACCAAAGCGATATCAACATCGATCGCAGTATCGACATCGATCGCAACCACAACATAGCCAAAAATGTGTGTAAAATAAAAACAGGGCCAAAACAGGGTCTTAGAAGTTAAATCAATAGATAAGAACCTGATTGTTGTGTTCCTCTTCGTGAGCTGGCCCAAAACTATATATAAGGCTCGCCAAAATCAGACATCCGGATGCAAAGTCATGCCCCACGCAAGATTTGAGGCTGAACTGTAGCAAAGTGCAGCCACAGGCAAGGCAACACAAAGCCAAGGTCGAACAAAAATTGGTGCAACCACAACATCACCTCAACAATGCGGTTTCATGGGACAGGGAGAGAGGTTGCACAATCATATTGTACGGCTGCAGGCTCACCTACAAGAGTGCAGCCTCAAAAGACAAGTTAAAGGCTGTACAATTTAATGGTGCGGTTGCAGCCTCACTTAAAATGTAAGGCCACTTATGCATTTTCACATTGCAGCTTTTGTAGGCTCCCGTTCTAAGGCTGCACGATATTTTGTAAGATTTCTGCCGCACAATTTAAAATACGGAATCATAAGGGGTGCATAAGCACGTGTGGCGTTGCATGTATGTCATTCCACATGTGTGTTAGGACATGCCTTTTCATACAAGCCTGTATGCGCAACCGCACATGTTTGGCTTGACACGTGTGTGTGAGCGAGCCCCCCCCCCCACCCTTTTTTGGCATGTGTGCCAAGCTAAGGGTCCACACAGCTGGGTGTGCACTTGTAGGTCCGCTTGATCAATGCCATGGTCCGCCACGACCACGTGACCTCACGTGGGCCCACATGCCTACACCTTGCATGCACAAGTGTGTCACCTGTCCCATGAATTCACATCGATAGACGTGCACCTCGATGGTAAGTCGCATGATTACCACACAAGACCACAGCAGATTCACGCTTCCCACGTGACCTGGAGGAACATAGCGCACACACGCACTGCCTGTCCACACACTATTGTAGCATGGTCCCTCGTGGTAACCACCGAGGGACTAGGGCGTCCAATGCATCTTGGGCATGCAATAGAGTTATTTGCACCTGTCGGTGCAAGACATTACCCTAAATCAAACCAGACACTTACAAGGGCCTACTAGCATCCAAAAATAAACACAAAAATAGAAAGGAAAAATATCCTTAACAAATATTTATGTGTTGTCACACATTAAACTACATCGATTATCAAATCGGAAGGAGGGTTTCCACCATAACGGCTCTGATACTATTGTTAGTTTTTGGGTGAGGTCCACCCCTTGTCCGTAAGGGCATAGTTTTGATATCATAGGACTTTTTGCTTTATGAGATAAGGAGAGAGAACAAGAACGATTTTCTTGATAAGTAAGATTAAGAAATCCAAAAAGATAATGGGAAATTATGGGAAGTTGTTAACCCCTTAAAAGGGGACCACTTCTATAAAAGGGGATTTGAGAGAGATGAGAAAAGATTAATCCAATTGAAAATGTAACTTTCTCTCTCCTCTCTCCTTGGGTATGTTCTCTTTTCTTGCATAAGAGTACTTTCTCTCTCTAGAAAAAGCTAGTCCTACATAGACCTCTAAAAACCAAAAATGGTGAGATCACTCTAAGCCACTTCCATCAATCAGGCTCAGGGATTTGGACTGTGCATACAATTCTCTCATTTCTAGTAATTGATTGCAGGCCTAAGGTTACAGCATCAAACTCTCAAATCAGATGATGCGTTCGAGGAGGAAAACCAAAAGAATTTATATTAGCCGCACAGGACGATCCGAAAAGGAATGTGGATTCGAACCAATCCTTTAATTTTGGGTTTCTATTGCCTTTCTAGGTTCATCCAGTTTACAACATTAGTTTCAAAGTCGTTTGAGTAGAAATCCACCTTCGGATCTGATAACTGGTGCTGTTTAATGAGCAAAAAACAAAAACATTTTTTCTACATCTTTTTCTATTCATTTTTTGTGTTTTTTCTTGATTTTTGGACGTTAGTAGGCCCTATAGGTGTCTAGTTGGATTCAAGGTTGCGTCGTGAACGCACAAACGTGAATGGCTCAAATACAAGATGCACAGGCACGTAAAAAATACGTTGCACAAAGTGAATGCCTTGGTCCCTCAACGGTTCATCGCGAGGATCCACTGTAAGGAACCACGCCACAATAGTGCATAAACAGGCAGCGCATCTAGTGCACCTCTAGGTCCCGTGGGAAATCGAAACTTGCTATGGTCCAACCGGGCGGTCATGCTATGAACCATCGAGGTGCACTTCCAGCGATGTGAACCTATAGATTAGGTGGCCCACCTGCACAGGCAAGGTGCAGGCACATGGGCCCACATGAGGTCACATGGCCCCGTCGGACCATGAAATTGATCAAGTGAACTTGCGGCGCCATCAGACATGTGCCAGGCCAAACACGTGTGGTTGCACACACAGGCTTGCACATGTGTAGAAAGCCATGTGTGTAACACAGTGTGAAGCCACACATGCCTATGCATCCAATCTGATGTCGCACTTTAAATTGGGTAGCTACAGTCTTACAAAATATATTGTAGCCTTAGAACAAGAGCCCACAAAAGCCGCATTGTATGAATGTACAAACGTAGACTAACAATCATAAGTAGCAGCACAGCCGCACCATCAGTCACAAAGCCCATCTAAGCAAAGTTAACTTCATTTTCAAAACAATGAAACCCATGAGATGGTCTTTCTAGTTTATATCATTCAGATGTTTAGGCCCAAGCAATTGCAAATGATTATCACTCATCAGAATGCCAAAGCCAACTTTCTAAGCTAAAATAATACTACAGTGTTTCTGGAAAAAGCAATGATCAAATTTTCTCAAGATCATAACATCATACCATAGATATGGGAAACTTTGTTGGGTGGCGATCCCCTCCGAATCTCAACAAGAATCTCCAAATTGGAACCTGAGCAAAGCTTGCTTGCCCAAATCATGGGATCTCGATCCCTATCATATAGATATCTCAATCCCTGGCTATAATCGCTATGATCTTTGTGAAAGGGAGATCATGACCCCTTTTAAAATGGGGACATGATCCAAGTTTAAAAAGATATCGATCCAAGGAGGAGTTTCAAAAAATTTTGAATTTTGAACCGAGCACCTTTTACTTTGTGCTAATTGTTTACTTTCTGATAATTTTCTAACTAATGACCACATGCTGAATATTTTGTTTTCCAGTTTCATAGTCATAGTTTGCATTAGTGGTTGAAAACCAATGAACTGACTAGGTTGAAAACTAGTGATTCGAGACGCCTTGGCCCCAAGAGATTTCACTGTCCTAGATGGTCCTGAACTTGCCGAGCGATTCTCTTCTCACAATAATGAATCTCCCTAGGTTGCCTGTTTACAATAGGGACTCGGGCAATTCCTAAATTTGGTTCTTATCATGATCCTACATTCTCATTTTGCTCAATTTTTTTTTATGGGACTTTTATGCTACAGATTTCTCATTGTGTATAGATGATGCCAAAAGTGGATAATACATTTCCACTGTTAAATTACTTTAAAATAAAATTATATATCCCCAAGTGCTATCATATAAACCTAGTATACCTAGACCAGAATCCTAGGTGCTCCCAAAGTAGGTTGCTATCAAGCTATTGATCCCACTCAAGTTCCTCACCTGCTCCCGCTCCTGCTCCAAACAACTATGGATCATACACCAAAGTTCAAATCCAGGGAATCCCCCAATAAAATAGTATGATAGGATGGAAGAAAAACCCCCTCCTAGAGGTATTTGGGTATAGTTAGAGGGACTTGACTCAAACTCAATCCAACTCCGAGGTGAAATCAACCTACTTGGGATCGAGTTAATAATAATTCAAAAGCAACATATCATAAAAAATAAAAAAAAAATGGAAGTGGATGTCAAGAAAAAAATAAAAATAAAAAAAACATATTGTTTATTCAACCAAATTTCAAAAAATTTACAAATTACCAAAAACTCAAAAAAAATTCCAAATGCCTATGCACATCCAATACAATGCATGATTTTCATTCATGGTCCAATCTATTAAAATAAGAAGTGATGACCCAAATATAAATTGGTATCATCGCAATAGTGAAAGTAATGAAGCCATTCCATCACATGTATGGAACCGCTACAAGAAGTCAATAGTCGCAATGCCCTTCCCTGGACCAATGGATGCAACAGGGAGTAAGTTGACGTACCAAAATTTTGAAATGGGTAGTCAGCGATTGTGGCCATTTCCTTTTCACTTTAATGGTCCATTGTTCATCCTAGAATCAATATAACATCCAAGTAATTTTTTTTTTTTTGAAAGCTTATTTACAAATAGACAAAGATTGATGTGTGTTAGAGAGAAGAATAAGAAGGCAAAGAGAAGGTTGCCATTAGATAAAAAAATTATTGTGGAAAAGGCTGCAATAACGAAAACAAGACAAAATACAGACATCATCAATGTCAAAGAAGGCGGATGCAGCCGCAAGGGTCTACGCCGCCTAGGCGGGCGCCCAGATACTTGGGCGGCCCAAAGGGAAGAGGGTTGGGGTGGGGGCCATATGTTGGTTTGTGTGTGTGTGTGTGTTGTGAATGAGTGTGTGTATGTGTTTAGTGTGTGTGTGTATGTGCATGCGCATGTATGTGTGTGCGTGAGGTCTCGCATGAAATTCTAAAAGATTATCCTCCTTGCTTTTTTCTTCCTTTCAGATCTGTATTTGTGAGAGAGAGATCTCGAACACATGGACGATATGGAGAGAGAGAGAGAGAGAGAAAGAGAATCTATGAGAGAGAGGGACCTCGCATCAAACACTTGGAGGTCATCTTCTACTTTTTCTGCTTCTTACATGTAAAGAGGGAGCATATGGATCCATGTGTATCTTTATGGGTGTATGTGAGAGAGAAAGAGGCCAACCTTTGTGCAACTTTTGTTTGCTTCCTACGCAGGCTTGGCTCTTCGACCAAGGAGACACACTAGTAGAACACTTGAGAGAGAAAGAGGCCAACCTTTGTGCAACTTTTGTTTGCTTCCTACGCACTTCTTCTTCTTCTTCTTCAGGCTTGGCTCTTCTACCAAGGAGACACTCTAGTAGAACACTTGAGAGAGAAAGAGGCCAACCTTCGTGCAACTTTTGTTTGCTTCTTCTTCTTCTTCTTCTTCTCATTTGTAGAGTGAGCACATGGACCCGAGAGAGAGAGAGAGAGGCAATACCAGGCCTTATTTTTGTTTCGGTGGATTTCAATTTCTTCCTTCGTTTTTCTTTTAAGGGATGGTAGTAGGCGGGGAGCCCAGACTGCCAAGGCACCCACCTTAGGCATGCCTGCCCAGACCCCACCTTCTACACAGTTTGTCAGCCAGGCCACCTAGGCGGCAAGGCGGCTTAATTTTCGTTCATTGCTCATCTTTTTTTCAAAAAGATGACTAGTTCAGCCTAGTTGGGCCCAACCAAAGTCAAACAAAACTCAGGTCAAACAGTTTTTAGCCAAGATTCAAGAAAACCCAAGTTTCACCCAAAATTTGTATGGGTTGGATCAACTCAAGGAAATCTCGGAACTACCCATTAAGTCCTACAACATTGGATCCAAATATAATCACCAAGAGTTCATATGGGGCATGGATACAATTACTGGTACACTAGATTGACAAACGTAATGGGTATGTTTTGGCAGAGGACGACATTCGTTAAGATATGGATACTTTAAAGATACAACTGGGGACACTAAACTCAAAAGGCCATGTGTAGGACGTTGGCAAAATCCATTATGAAATTCGTGCATAGTATTGGTACGTCAATGGTAAATGGTGCATAGATATGTGCATGCTTGTGGAAGTTTACACTAGGGAAGTATAACTTTTAACATTTTTTTTTATCGACTATTAACGCAGTTATTCCTCTACATATTATCATATCATTACAAACACATGAAGTACCCCATGGTGATTGAGAAATGAGTCCCATGATATTTATTACGCTATATTAGCGTTATATTGAGTTTTTTTTCAACTTAAATAAACCTAGTAAACTTAATGAAATATAAAAACAAAATATGCCAAGTCTGTCAAAATGCATTGTTAGGATAATCTACCTCCAAAAGGGGTGTAAATGCTTTGGCCACAAGTTGAAGAAGGTATTACATTTCCAGAGAGGTACTTTATGGGAAGATGTAAGGTACTCCATTCCATAAGAGTCTAATCAAGGTATTACTCAAGAGGAGAATTTTAGATTTTAGATTGGTGCGCAATGTCCAAACTCCAAACTCCTCTCTCACCTAAATCCCAACTCAATCCCCCAATGTTCATACAAGTGAATTCAAGTGGACCTCCTCCTCCAGATCCTTCCTAAGCATCAAACCCATCCACAAGTACGCTTTCGTAGTTCTCACTATCACCTAAACTCGTGGTACCACTAAACAATCATTCATCTCATCTAGTTTTATTTCTTCATACGTCTAAAACACTCACCATCATCAATGTTTCAAAAGGGACCAGGCTGTGCCCAAGCGACCTAGGGGGTGGAGTGCCTCAGCATGATGCAATTTCCTAGGTGGCAACTTGGTTTTGAGGTGCCCAATACGCATTTATATTCATATATATGCATTTGAAACACACACACACACACATAATAGGCTGTAAATAACCCGAATAGAGCATTTTTTAACCTCTCTAGAAACAGTGGAATGAATCCTATCCAAGAATTGGACTTGAGAATATTTCTTGAACTTTTTTCATTTCTTTCCCAAAAAAAGTTAACTATCTTCAATTTTTGTTTTCATTCTCGATTCTCCCCTTATAGAGGGTAGAAAGACAATTTTGCCCATGGCCCAACGGTGATACGCTCTCAGTCCATGAGTAGGCAAGGCCGGTACCTCAGCTAAGGCGCCCATCTATGGGCTAGCCCCCTAGGGGCGACCACAGAGACAGCTACAAAGATCCTAAGCGGCATTGCATCCCCCACTGGATGTAGCATTCATGTACATGAACACAAGGATTTTTGTTCCTTGCAGAACAGTTAAAATCAATTATGCCAAAAATATGTATCTAAATTCAGTATATTATGAAAGCATAGCATGGGACAAAGACAATAGGAAAATGTGGTTGGCTTGACAGGGTAAACTCTTCCATTCTCGTTAGGTAGACAGTACAAACTCTGTCGAGAATTTAATGATATGCTAAACAAAAAATTGAAGATCACTTAAGCTGATCACATTTGAATTTCAGAATAGGCATACGGCCTTGTTAGTGCTTGAAAAATCCTGGATCACAACAAGCACTTGAATATCCAAACTTCAATCAGGATTTTCAAGGTTGTCTAAGACTGATATAAGGTAGAAATATAAAAAAAAATATTCAAATTTCAGGTCTCTGGTATACTATTAAAGCTAACCAGTCACACAACACGAGTGACATATGTAAAACTTGTAACGATCAGAAAAGAAAGGTTTTTGTTCCTCTTGTCCAAAGGAAATCTTTGGTACATAATCACTAATAGATTGAATGGCAAAACTACATGGTTTGATCGCATATCATGAGACATGCGATTGCTGCAAAAAAAGTGCTGCTGTTATTTGATGAAAGAATAGACACAACCAATGAAACCAAGATTAATAAATATTGTCATCTGCCTAAGTTGGAGACATGGGCATCACAATTACATGTAGTCTTCTTGTTCTAGGAATGGTTGAGCCAAACATTAAAGCCCTCAGCACTATGAGATAGTGAAGGAGAGAAAGAACTAACTCCAGCATTTGCATGTTAACTCTAACATATCTCAGCAATACAAGCTCTATCAAAAGATATGCTAAAACATGTTAATAATTAAGTACAAGGGTGCTTCTTTGTTATGCACACCCTGATGAATGAGCGAGCTACATGGATAACATTGATGTGGATCATAATTATCATCATAAGATGAACCAAAACAGATTTTTCAGATTACAAATGGTACTAAAGCCAGAGTTTGAACAAATTACAGATTCAATGATACATTACAATCATGTAACTTCCATGAAATAGGCATATTCGAACTTCATGCAGAAGAAGGAAGATTGGGTGCAATGATCTCTACTATGGTGCAGCATAAATCAATATGAGAAGGATGAACCTCATGAAACAAATTGTGAAAATCGAAATCACCTCTTCACTACACCAGTAATAATAAAAGAAATGGCCATTTCTTACACTGATTGAAATTCTCATTGGGATTCTAATGACATGTAATGCACAAGATAATTAATAGTTTGTCAGTTCTGCAACATCTAGAGATAAATATTGCTGCCAAATCTTTTAGGGACGAATTCATCGGGAAACCTAAACACTTCATGAGCTTCCCCCATCATATTGCCCGAAATCTAGATCAGACTATACTGAAATATCATCATTAAAGAGAAAACAAAAAGCAAAACAAAGATAACAAAACTGAAATGCAAAAGAAAACAAGAAACAAAAAAATATAACAAAACTTAAGGAATGAAAACGACATAAAGTCGTCACAACTATAACAGCAAGTGGCAACAAATGGAAATGATGAGACATAAACAGAAAGAGTAGGGAATCAAAAGACAGAGAGGCAAGAAGTAGAGATCGTAGAGTACGGAGATAAAGGTAGAAAAAGAAGCAAGATAAGAGAAAGTATCAGAGAGAAGATAGATTAGAGGACAGAGAGAAGAGAAAGTGAAGAGAAGGTAGAGTACAGAGATAAAGATACCAAGGGCATGGCGAAGCTGGTCGACATCGCCGAGCTCCGCACCGTTCCAGAATGCCCTACTATCATCAGTGAGGTCATGAACTCCATTCATCCTTCTTGGAACCGCCTCTTCTCGAACTCCATTCATCCTTCTTGGAACCGCCATTCTCTCTATCTCTCTCCCCTCTGCCGAAAGTTACAAACCCTTCTCCCTTAGTACAGGTGAGAGAGGTTCTTCTCCCTTAGTACAAGTGAGAGAGGTTCTTCTCAGACTGTTGAAAACGCTGGAAAACTTCCGGAACCTTTAAACAAGGGAGTGTATGTATAACTTAGGAGTATGATATAGACTAGTGTGGTAGTAGACAAGTCAAGTGTAATCGCCATCCATTTAGTTCATTAAGGGTTATGGATAAACTGGGACACATGATAAATGGCATTACCCGAGCCATGGGCTACTCTCTCTCCATAAGCCGGTTGATTGATTGGATGGTCAAAGACTCATTGCCCTTTATTGTGACCGTAAATGTGATGGCATGCTAAGGGTGTGGTTTGCGTAAGGCTGCAACCCTGAACCATCAAAATACAGACGCACCTCCAAATTTTATCATATGGTGTAATTTTAGTATAAAAAATTTTTAGGATAGCATGAGAATCCATTTTTATCGCTAATTAAGAAATTTTAAAATTCAAAAATGTTTCAAATCAAGTAGATCTATAAGCACATGAAAATCTTGAAAATAGACCGTCTAGATAATGCGTTGCAAAATGTATTATTTTAGGACTCAAAATCTTATATATATATATATATATATATATACATCTTGATGTTGAGATGATCAATTAGAAGATTTTCCAACGTCAAAACAATCATTTTGATGGATTTTCAGGTACACCTTAATTTGACATTTTAACTTCGCAGCATTATATACAATTTTTTTCTATATTAAAAATAAGAAGCAAATATATTAGCCCGAGACTTTAAACAATCATTTTAAGGTGCACATCAAAAATGCATTGAAAGAGGTTATTTTGAAGCTCAAAAATCTTCAAATTGATCATCTCCACCTCAAGATATATGGACATGAGAAAAAATGATTTCAATCCTTAAAAATAGTGCATCTTGTAATGTAATGTCGGACCGTCAATTTTCAATCTTGTAATGCAATGTTGGACCGTCAATTTTCAATATTTTCAAATGTTCATAGATATGCTCAAGCAACACTACTTTTGAAGATAAATTTTGTAGTTAGATATGAAAATAACTTTTCAGACCATTACAAAGATTTCCAGTATTGAAACAATATCTTTCGACACTATTTCATTTGAAGGTGCGCCTTACTTTGATTGTTTAGAGCCTTGGCCCTATACAGACCACACACTTAAAAGTAGGAAAAAACATTTATATAAGTGCGAGGCCCTAAACAATCAAATTAATGCACACCTCAAAAATTTACTAAAAGAGGTTGCTTCAAAGCTGAAAAGCCCTCAATTTGATCATCTCAACTTCAATATGTATGAATATAAAAAAAAATAGTTTGAACCGATCTAACAATCACGACCTCATTTCATATTTGAATTTTAATTATTTTTCTGTAAATCCAAATCACTTGAAATTTTAGGCATGTGTTCTTCTCATTAAGATGCACCTAATAAAAATATTTAAAAAATAATTCAAAAAAAAAATATTGACCAAAATACCTCCAATATATTTCAAGGGTATTTTAGTTAATTTATTTCATGTAAAATAAAATTTCAAGTTATTTGTATTTTTAGAAAAAAAAAACTAAAATTAGAACACAAAATGCGGTCGTTGGGCTCATATCTTCTTGTTAGCGCAATGGCTAAGAGGAAGATTTTCTTTTATATATATATATATATATATAGGAAAAAGCTTAGGTGGGCCCACTAGCTCATAAAATAGTATAAGCCCAACAACCCATATTGAATCTGGGCAAATCTAACGAACACGAATGTTTTGTAGTATTTAAATTTTACTTTTTTTTCTACAAATCCAAATAACTTAAAATTTTAGGCGTATGTTTTTCTCATCAATACGCACCTAATAAAACTATAAAAAAAAATAATTCGTAAAAACAATATTGACAAAAGTACCCCCAAACATTTTGGAGGTATTTTAGTCAACTTTATTTCATGTAAAATATTGTTTTGATATTTTTCAAAGATTCACCTATTTTTTATGTACACACACTTCAAAT